TGCCTTTCTATGTCCTATGAGTTAGTATTTGATATAGCTTTCTTCTCCTGGTCAGTCTTGACCAGGGCAGCTTTCGATGACATTAAGCAGCGTGGCATTCTAGCCATTCTGGCACCAGTTACTTATCCAATTTTCCCGCGGCTTGTTTGGATGTTCTTCCAGAACCTCCAGCCGGCCCCGGGTAATCTGTTAGAGCTACGGACTACCATTGATGGCCACCCTATCATCATCACTGTCGATACTTTGGCCACTTCTTCTCGGTGCCCCCATGTCTGCCCTCTTGGTCTTGAGTATCCTGTTCTGAGGAGGCCTTCTGATGCAGACATGGCCGTTGCCCTCACTGGCCATTATGCAGCTGGCGAAACTTTCACCACCCGGACTTATCTACCCGACGACCTATGTTTTTTCGATTTGGTCTTCTACCGAAATATATTTATGGCGGGGTATAAGATCCAGAGGCATTTTGACTTTCTGGCAGCTCTCTATGCTTTCTATACTAGGCAATGGTTCTCTATTTTGGCACTCTACTGGAATGTCTGTTAGGCGCTGAATGTTATACATTTTAGCCCCTTTATTTGCATGTTTTGTTCACTCAATAATAGTTTATTTGTGATTTTACATTGTTTTATTATTTTTATTTATGTCAGGGCTTTAATTATAAAATCAGTCAAGACCAGTAATTCTGAGCTTTACAAGATGACTTTTCGTGGGATCGAGCAATGTTGAAGATTCAAATCTAATTATATTTAGAAAATAGTCCAAAAGAAGCCACAAGTTGATAAGAATGGAAAGAAGAAGAAAAAGAAAACTCCTTCTCCAAAAAGGAAACTTTCGCCAAAGTTGGTAACTTAGAACCCGTTTTGGTAATTTGGCTGTATCTCTCTTCTCGAGCATCAAAACAACTAAATTATTGCGAAGGTTGATAGGAAATTCGAAGAGCTACAATTTTGTGTTTCACGAGCTTTCCCTAAAATAGCTGTTTACCTTATCAAAATTGGCTTAGAAGTCTACACGAATTTTAGGAGTCCTTATTCGACAGAATTTCTATGTATGTCTCCTATATGAAAAAGGGAACTTTAGGGCTGATCTTTTATTATTTAAAGGGGGTCCTCTACAACATTGAGGGATGATACAGAGGAACTTGAGACCGAGATCAGAGAGGAGCATTCAGAAGAAGGAAGGGATCAATCCATGGTGGTGAAGATGTCTTACTCAACTATGAAGAATTCCACCCCAATCATGCTTGGCTAAACGCTTTGCTAGTGTTGTGATGTAGCCCTAGCTTAGCACACTGGTTTGATTGTATTTAATTATTGGAGAATAATTTTTATCATGCATGATTGTGTAATTTATAAGGTTTTTAAATGACCTTTCAATAAGAATCGGTTTTAAAGTTTTAATTCAATTACAAATATTTTTCTATCTTGTCTTAGGTATTTTAATCTTGTAATTGAACACAACTCATTCACTTCTTGTAGTTATAAATGAGATGATTACACAATAGTTCTTATCTGAATATAATGTTAGAGATTTGATGGATTATGCCTAGAAAAGATAGACCATGCTACACCCTAGAGTAAAGTAGACAGGTAGATGGTTTATACCAATCGAAGATAGTCCATGCTTAGCTTTAAATTATATTATTTTCCAGCTGAATTAATATGTGCTTGTAGCCATGATTAATTCCCTGTGCATGTTATATGATATATCTCCAATAAATTGATGTAATTGACTAGTAGTGCGATGTTAGTGGTGAAATCATACCTCTAGTTCTCTCTCTCTATTTTCTACATCATATTTGATCATTGTTCTTTAGTTTATTTCATTTTTCTACTTAGTTAATTTAGAATTAATCATCACAATTTGATTATCCTACTTTCAAGTTAATTTTGGAATTTAAGAAATCTGTTGACAAACTTAATTTACACAAGTCCCTTGGGTACGACACCCTTACAAGTAAACCCTATCTGCAAAGATTCGTGCACTTGCGAGTGGTACATATAAATCTCACAACAGTGTCATGATGAAGCTATACACAAATTATATCAGCCAGGCTAAGCCCAAACAGGCTAAGTATCTCCCCTTTGCTCATCTCATTACTCAGATCCTCCGGGACCAGTGCTACCCTTTCTATCTACAGGAGCGTTTTGAGTTAGAAGCTTGCCACTACGGCAAGAAGGACTGGAATAAAAGTTACAATTCTCTTATTAAGAGCTTGGAGGAGGACGCTATCTTAGCCGCAAAGGAGGCTGTAAAGGCTGAGGTGGCAGAAAGAGTAGCAGCAGCAGCGGACGATCTAGCAGATGCACCGGCGGCTACAGTACATATGGAGATAGACCTTGAGCAGCAGCCTCCAGCAGAGGAGCTACCACATCACTCTCTAGTTGGGTCGCCACTTTATTCCCAGGAGCAGACTCAGGATGTACCACAGTTTCATGTTCCAGTTATTCCTGAGGCTCCAGTTCTGACACCCGGGTTAGGAGAGTGTGTCCAGGCATTAGAGGATGCAATAGTTTCCTTCAGAGCAGTCATTTCTACTCTATGTACAGATGTCTTAGCTGTGCTGCATGACATATTTAGAGATATCCGGGGATCACGCCCCGCTTGCCCTACCTCCTCTGCTTGATTTCTCTATCTCTTTACTCTCCTCACTTGATATATCTGTGATATATTTTTATTACATTGCTACTGATATGATATTTTTGTGGCCAGTCTGTCGGCCAAGACACTGTGATACACCATCTACTGTTTATTATTTTTCTTTCTATACATGTTATCTTTTGGATGTCATTTCTTATATTGATATATTTGTCTGTGATTGACTCCATTATCAGGTGCATCCTAGTGATTTCAATGAGAAAGTGTTGCCCAAAATTTTTCTGGACCATCCTTTTTTCTCTCTCCTTCATTCATTTCTTATCCCATTTACACTTGCATGTCCACTGTGCACTGTTATTATCCCTTTTGTTATCTGATGAGTTTTATCCAAGCGCCATCTTTTTAGGACTGCAGTTAATTCCAAGTTTGGGGGGGGGGGGGGGGGTTATACCACCCACTTTGGATATTTGTGTCCCGGCTATTCTTTGCCTTAGTTACACTGGGATACTCTATCCTTTTGTTTTCTTTGCACATTGAGGACACTATGCCATTTAAGTTTGCAGGTAATGGGTGTTAATTACAATATTTGCTTTCAATTCAAAATTTTAAGTATGACTTGTATATTTGAGGGATTTTCTATGATTGGTCCATAACTAGCTATGATTTTGATCTTTTGAGAACTATATTGCTTAAAATTTAAAAATTGCTTGACTTGAGAGTCCAATACTCCTTGTATGCCTTGTGAATGTCATTTAGGAGTAAATTTTTAAAAAAATTGATATCTTGCTTGCACTTGTGGTCCACATCATCCTGATTTTTTTTATTGTTTTGAAATTCACTCTAGGATTCTACGCTAGCACAGACACACACTAGCATTAATTTGTGGGGTACATGCTTTGTTGATTATTGAATTGGTTATATCCTAATTGAGCTACTAGTGCATTGAAGGCTTTCATCTTGATAAAAGTGGATAACAAACCCTTTTCATTGAGTAGCTGGGATTCTAGCCTCATCAAGTGCTGAACTTCTCGCGCCGAAAGGTGGAGGGCCTAAACTCTAGGTTAATAACTTGACAAAAAAAAAAGAAAAAAAAGAAGAAAAGTTGTTGCAAAAGTAAATAAAAATTGAGGACTTCTCCCAAAAGGTGAGAAGTCGGAAATGATTAGATGGAGGTTATTTTGATTTGTAACCTAGTTGATTTGAGCTTGTAAGTTCTTAGGGGTGTTTGAATACCTAGTGCCCTAAAGCCGTCTAGTTTGGGAGTCATTGACCTATTGTTCGACCTCATGGATTGCTAGAAAGCTTAATAGATCATTACATTGCACTGTGCTTCCATCTTTGATCCTTAGGGATAGAAAAAAAAAAATCAAGTGAAAAGAAGAAGCGCACCTAGATCAATAAAACTTTAATAAAATGTCCACTTTTTGTTTTGATGATCGATACTAGATTTGTGTGCTATTTTGAGGGTAAGGATGTGATCATTTCTTTAGTTGGCTTAGATAGTAACATATTTGATGCTGGTCCACTCAAAAAGGATTCTAGAGTTGTTTTCATTTGCATGATTATTTTCTTGATGTGTGGAGGACCATACTTGCTTGCTTGATGTTAAAATTTTGGGAGTGTAGACACTAAAATTTTAGTGGACTTTGATTTGGACAAATGAACCCTTTAAATATGGGCCTAATGTTTAATTAAGTTATTTAATTGGCCCAAGTTTGATCCACTTAAATTATTTAATTAAGGCCGGTCCAGATGGTTAAATAAAAAAAGAATAATTATTCATAATAAAATATATTTGGAATAATTATTTTTAAGAATAATTATCATAATATAACCGGCTCGGCCCAATTATGATATTTTCCTTATCAAAGAGGACATGTGTCATCATCTTATGGATCCATGAAGCCTATAAATAGAGGCTAGAGGAAGGGAGAAGGGGACACAAATTCAGAGTCCAGAAATCCAGAGATTCAAAATTCAGAAGTCCAGAGACTCAGAAGTCAGAGACACAAATTCAGAATCCAAACCCAAAAGTGAAGAACATCAAGCACATCCAACAATGTGCCGTTCTTCATCAAATCCCACGATGATCAATAACAAGCACATCCAACGACGTGCCATTTTTCATCAAATTCCAAGGTGATTCAAGAACAAGCTTGTGTAGCCTTTGGATCCAACCAACCAAAAAGGAGATCGAATCAGAGGACCATTCTTTTTGTAAAAGATATCACAAAGGATTGTACTCCAAATATTTCTAATTTAATAAATTATTATTTTGCTTATATTTTGTCTTTATTGCAGAGTACAAAATTTGTGTGTCCAAATTTCTAGCACGCCCAGTGGGATATTCTTTGCCTCTCATCTCTTTCTCCTACCATCAAGTTTCTTTTCTGTCAGATTCTATGGCTCCCCCTAAGGCTCAGACAGATAAAAAAGCCCCAAAGAACATCGCTGTTGCAAAGGTCGACGCCAAAGCCACCGTGAAAAGTGGCACGAAGGCTAAAGCAAGTGATGGAAGTACCTTGGTGGGCCCTATGACACGTAGCAAGTCCCAGGCAATCGCGTCATCCAAATATCAGCAAAACTTGGTGAAAACCACTCCTGCAAAGCCGGCAAACGTGAAAACCCAACATGTCAAGAACCCTGACGTTGTTCCAGAGGAGATTCTGCCACCAGATTCACTTAATTCCATCCATGATGCTCGCTCTAGTGTCGGTTCACCCCCTGAGTCACCACGTCAGACTTCGGAGCATTCAATCACTTTAAGAACCGTTGACTCTCAAGGCATATCATACTCAGATGTGGTCGCTGCTATGATGACTGGAGCTGCCACGGTGGAGGAACAACTAGTAACTATGTCTCGTGCCATTGAGAACCTCACAAAGACTGTTGAAGAGAAGGACTTACAAATCGTTACGCTGATGAACGAATTGGAAGTTCAGACCTTCGGTTAATCACCAGTACAATCTAGGCATCCTACATCTTCCACAGCACCACCAACTGGGAATCGTGCAACTTTCTCACCACCACCATCTGGGAATCCTACGTCTTCCACAGTAATGCCGACGAAGAATCCTAATTCTACCGCACAAGGTACTCGCATGGAAGACCCCAAACAGACACCGGTGATAGAACAGGCGGTTAGTCAAAATTAGATGCCAGTAACAGAACAGGCAGCTAGGCAAACCAGTCACGCTTCTTCAGTCTCTTCATTATCTGTCGCACAATTACAAGATATGATAGCGAATACAATCCGAGCCCAATATGGAGCATCTTACAGAGCACTCTCATGTACTCAAAACCCTATACAAAGAGAATCGACAGTATGAGGATGCATGTAGGATACCAACCTCTGAAGATTCAACAATTTAATGGAAAAGGTAACCCCAAGCAACACATTGCCCATTTTGTTGAGACTTGTAACAATGCCGGAATAGAGGGGGACTTACTAGTTAAACATTTTGTCCGCTCCTTTAAAGGAAACGCGTTCGAGTGGTACACCGACCTGAAGTTAGAGTCAATTGATAGTTGGGACCAAATGGAACGAGAATTCTTGAACAGGTTTTATAGCACTCATCGTACTGTTAGTATGATAGAGTTGACTAACACGAAACAATGGAAGGATGAGCCTGTAATCGACTACATTAATCGGTGGAGGGCACTCAGTTTTAACTGCAAGGACCGATTGTCAGAAATCTCTGCTGTGGAGATATGTATGCAGGGAATGCATTGGGGCCTTCTTTACATTCTACAAGGAATAAAACCTCGCACATTTGAAGAATTGGCAACACGTACCCATGACATGGAGATCAGTATGAAATCCCATGAAGGTAAAAGTCCCATGGCCATAGAACCACGCAAGGATAAGAAAGACTGGAAGAAGGGCGATAAGTCGTCAAAGACCGTTGCTAAAGATTCCATGGCTATCTCAACCACCCCAATCAAGATATCTATTAAAGATGATAAAAAGGATGATAAAAAGCCTCACTAGTTTCAAGAGAGGGAAAGACAGCGTCCTACGCTAAAGGAGTTAGAGAAGAAGGAATACCCCTTCCCTGATTCCGATGTCCCTGGCATCTTGGAATGTTTACTCGAAAGTAAAGTTATAGAACTCCCTGAATACAAACGCCCTCAAGAGATGGGATGTGTCAATGATCCAAAATACTGCAAATACCATCGTATTGTCAGTCATCTAATTGAGAAGTGTTTTATCTTCAAGGAGGTGGTGATGAATCTGGCAAAATAAGGAAAAATCTTGTGGGACACGGACGAAGTTATAACTTCAAATCATACTACTGCTACTGTGACAACCTCTGTTATGGGGAGTGCTCGTTCTCAACCTTTAATTTCTGAGGTATATTGCACAACCATCCAGTTTGGCTCATTAGAACCAATTCTCATCTCTCTTGGCAAAGGGAGTGCACTTGACGTTTCAACCTTTGGAAGTGTCTTTCCTCAGGATGATGAAGAAGGATAGACTCTAGTGACAAGAAAGAAACCACGGAAGCAACGAGCTGACATTTTTTAGACTAGTTATTCTGACAGGGGGCAAAGGAAGAAGAAACCTCAATATCACTATAAGCAGTTTGGCCATAACAGAAAATGGGTCAAGAAGACACAGTCAACCAAACACACCTCTATAAGCAAAAGGATCCAAAAGCCTATTACTTTGCAAGAGTTCTTTCCAGAAGGATATCTAGATGATGAAGTTGTGACAGCTTACATGGTTTCAACTAAAACGAGCCCTGATGGTGAGAATAGCAATGATCAAGATGAAGCCCAGACTGTGGAAAATCATGCAAAGGATGCAGCCATCATTGAAAAGTTCGATGGTGATGAAGTAGTCAGAGGTACACTGGATTCATGTTATGCACCAATTATTTTCACTAACGAAGATCTTCAATTGGGTTCGAAGCCATATAATTGTCCTCTTTTCGTCTCTGGTTACATAAAAGAACAAAGAGTTATTCGAATTCTTGTTGATGGTGGATCAGCAGTGAATCTCATGCTAAAATTTACGATGAAAAATCTCGGTATCACAGTCGATGAGTTATCTTGTAGCCGTTTGATTATTCAAGGTTTTAACCGGGGATGACAGAGAGTTATTGGTATGATTCGGGCAAAACTAATTATTGGTGAGCTCTAAGCTGAAACCTTATTCCACGTCATTGATGCAAAGACGTCCTACAATTTATTGTTAGGAAAGCCTTGTATACATAGTAATGGTGTCATTCCATCGACTCTTCATCAGTGCTTCAAATTCTACAAGAATGGCGTACAAATGGTTGTGGCGGACCACAAACCATTTACAGAAGCAGAATCTCATTTTGCTGATGCCAAGTTCTATATCGATCATGATACACCTTCGGAAGTGCCCATACCAAGCCATCCATCTACACAAGAGGTTCAATCTACAGAAACAAAAGAAGCGTTAAGTGATCCATTAGATGTTTCAGTGACAGACATTGTAAAGGTAGCTAAAATAAGAGGGGTCTCGATAAAAGCACATCGGACAAAACCTATTTTAAAGTATGTTCCAAAATCTCAACGACAAGAAGGGCAGTCACCTGTCATTGAGATACTTGAAACCAAGGAATTTAAATTGAAGATGTTACAAACCAAAGAGAAAGAAAATATGCAAAAGCTGAAAGGAGAGTTAACTCTTCCTCTCACCAAGATTCAAAAGTCTTCGCTTTCCAAGCCTCCGTTAAAAGGGTTCATGCGGCCTTCTCAATCTCTGGTCAATCATGGATCACTTCCAAAACAAAGGGCTGATGAAGGATTCGATCCTAAAGCATACTAACTCATGGCTAAGTCGGGGTATGATTTTACAAATCCTGCAAACCTTAGAAAACTGAATTCAGAGGTCACCGGTGAGAAAATGCATGGCCTCAATGAGACACAGAAGAAGTTGAAAGATCAAGGGCATCAAATCATTCCACCCAAGTCTGGTATCGGTTTCGCACCTTCTGAGCCACTTCAAATTCACATCACAAAAAAGATAAGAAGTCAAACTCTTTTTACATTGGGTTTAAAGAAGTCAAAGATGAACAAGACCAACAGATTATGCATCAAAAATCAGTCTTCGACTGTATAGGAGATCCATGTGATCGAGTAATTGTATTCAACAGGTTGTCAAGCCAAAAGTCAAATGTCTTAAGTTCTCATGTCAACAGTTTGCCTCATACCTCTATTTTTAACAGAATGAGCTTTCATGACCAAGGAAGAAAATCTCTACAACCTCAAGCTCGAAAGTCAGTATTTAATCGAATTAGTACTATTAATGATACACCACTAAGAAGTAGCAAGAGTGAAAAGTCAGAGAAAACTAACATCGATGTGGTGAACAATAGTGAAGTTCGGAGCCTAGTGCCCTCGCGAATGAAACGTAAGACAGAGGTAGATGTCACCAATGATGTTACCTTAAAAGCTTGAAGGCAAACCGTTGTATTCACTAATCAAGTAAAAGAAGTGGATAAAATAGAAGACATTGGCGAATCATCTTGTGTTACTTCATACCACATCACTATTGAAGAGGAACCTGACTCTGAACAACCAGATGACATCGAGAAAGCTCCACCAACACTAAAAGACGGGGGGTAGGCTACTGTTGATCAACTCAAAGAAATCAACTTAGGGACTGATGATCAACCCAGACCAGTTTTCATTAGTGCATTCCTAAGCCTTTTAGAAGAAAATGATTACTTTCAATTGTTGTCTGAGTATAAGGATGTCTTCGCTTGGACATACAAAGAGATGCTCAGTCTTGATCCTAAAATTGCAGTGCACAATCTTGCTGTCAAATATGGGACATGTTCGATTAAGCAGTCTCAATGTTTCTTCCGTCCAGAGCTAGTTCCAAGGATAGAGGAAGAACTCAACAAATTGATTGAAGTAGGGTTCATTCGTGAGGTCAAATATCCAACATGGATTTCGAGCATTGTTCAAGTGAAGAAGAAAAATGGACAGATTCGAATTTGTGTAGATTTTTTGTGATTTAAATGAGGCATGCCCAAAAGATGATTTTCCTATTCCCATCTCCGAACTCACTGTAGATGCAACCACAAGGCATGAAGCTCTCTCGTTTATGGATTGTTACTCTGGGTACAATCAGATAAGAATGACTCTGAAAGATGAGGAACTAACTGCCTTTCGCACTCCTAAAGGCATATATTGTTACAAAGTTATGCCCTTCGGACTCAAAAATGCGGAAGCAACATACCAGTGTGCCATGCAAAGGATCTTCGACGACATACTCCATAAGATTGTTGAATTTTATGTTGATGACTTAGTGGTTAAGACGAAAGAACGAAGGAATCATTTACAGGATCTATGTACAGTTTTTAATCGCCTCCGAAAATTTTAACTCAAGATGAATCCTCTTAAATGTGCATTTGGAGTGACTTTAGGGAAATTCCCGGGATACGTTGTACGTCATCGTGGTATTGAGATTGATCCTAATAAAGTGGAGGCCATTCAAAAGATGCTGCCGCCAAAGAATTTACATGAGCTTCGAAGTTTACAAGGTCAACTTGCGTTCATTCGTAGGTTCATCTCAAATTTGGCTGGCCGTTGTTAGCCTTTTAACTGACTTATGAAGAAAGACGTGTAATACCCCCAATTTTAAAAGGAAAGTTCTGGAATTTATTTAAATTGTTTAATTTATTTGATGTAATTGTTGGTTTATTTAATTGTTATTTAATTGAATTTTTGTTTTGCTTTAATTGTTTAATGTTTTTTTTTTTGTTTTATTTTAAATTGGTTGCTTATTTTAGTTAACATTTATTTGAATTAAGTTAAATGTTTTATTCTATTAAATTAGGTTTTTATTAGTTCTGGAAGCCACGTATTTAGCCGACTTGTTTTTCTGTCTAGTATTAGGATTAGGGTTTAACTACACCTAGGTTTAGTTGGCCTACATATATATCTGTATAGGGCTGCCAAGGGTTTAGAACCCTAACCACACATATTGGAGGCAGAAGAATCAGGGGAGTCAGGAGCAGAGGAGATACTGTAGTTCACCGGCGAAAGTAGTTCGCCGGAAAACTTAGAAGAAAGACGTTGAGATTTTTGAACTGAATCTCATATGCAAGTTTTATATCTAACTCTATCTCTTTGGCTTGTGTTCTTTACATCTTTAATTCAATCCCAGGATGAAATAGACTTAAATTAATTTGGTTTAATTTAGTTTCCACGTTATTTAGTTTTAAAACTGTATGTGTTGCTGTATGTGTAATCTGCTCGTTTTGAAACTATTTTTGCTTGTTCTTGTTCTGGATAAATTTGATTAACAAGTAATGAATTTAAATAAATTTAGAGCACCTTGGGACTTAGTTTTAACCAGTAGGGAAGTTGGTTTGGAAGAACAAAGTAGCCGAATACTGCCAGAGTGGAAGGAGACGACGAACAGGGGAGGAGCAGGTTCACCAAAACGCAGAGTAGGCTCCACCATGTGTGGAGCCGGCTCAAGGATCAGTGGAGGCAGCTCCACCATGGGTGGAGGTGGCTCTACCACAATTGGAGGCGGCTCTAATGTTTAGGGAGCCGGCTCCTTCAACAGTTTTCAGTTTTTCGCCTTTTCAGTGATGGTTTTGGCTATGGGTTTCTGAATTTGGTGTTTCTAGATGCTATTAGGAGCTATGTCGGGATGTTTTAGTAGCATCTAAGTCCTATTAAAAATTTTGAGGGTGTGATAATACATAATAAATTACAAAGAAATCGGTAGATTTAAACCATTATAGTTTCAAGTGAACTTGTGGACTGTTTTTGGAGGCAGAGGATTTTAAGTGCATAACCCTATGAGTTGCAATTTATCTGGGAATGGAAATATTGTTTAATCATGTTTTTGTAATTTAAATTAAGCATATTAGATTACAGAATGATTATATATTTATAAGTGACAGTAAGACACTTTTAAGGAAGTTTACACGGTTGAAATTTTGCAGATGATTCAAGTTGATTAATTTTAAATTAGCAATTGAAATAGGAGTT